CATTACACTACCCCCCCCTCAAGAGCGAGGTCCCTTCGAGCGGGTAACTCAATCAGAGTTCTTGCAAAGAGCATCGTAGGCATAAATAGCAAAGAGTGACCRTGTATACTCTGTAGGAGTCAGTTTCGCAGTAATTTTCGGTTGCTGTTCAGCACTAATCTGYCTTTCATATGCGTTAACTACCCTAGGTGCAGTCTGTAAAAGGTCTTTCTTAGTGATCCAATAGAAGTTATCAAGCGGGTGATACAGAAAATGAACTTTATASTGTCTGTTCCTGCCTTTCCCACTGTGCTCAACAATTCTATCAATCTCATGCCCTCCGTTGATTGCGCGAGGGATCATCGACTCTCGATACGGGAAGGTGCCAGGTGGTTTGTAGGGAAACAGTTTCGATGCATGGAAGACTGGGTACGTGCSCAGATGGGGAGGCACGTCGATCGTGTARGAAGGACCGAAATCATCATTCCCCTTCTGGTCCAGAACTTTCCACGGGCCATAGTACTGCGGAAGAAGTTTCCTTGACACACCCTCCTCTTCGGAAAACTCAGACATCTTGACCCAGACATAGTCTCCTACCTTGAAAGGTACAGGCTGGCGTTTTTTGTTAGCGTGTTTGATCATGGCGCTGCGCCGCCGTTCCATGGCTGCGACCGCGACCTTGAGCAGCCGGTCATACTTAGCGGTGTAACCTGGTTGTCCGGGTGTCAAACCAGGTGGCTGCTCAGGGAACAGGTAGGATAGAGGATTGCGAATCTTCCACCCGAGGTGTAGCCGGCTTGGCGTCATCCCGGTGGAAGAGTGGATGGAGTTGTTGTACAACCCCTGTACTATTGGCAATTCCTCGTCCCACGAGTTCTGATCTGGCACGATCAGTGCCCGGAGGAGTTGGATCACAGTCTGGTTGATCTCTTCGGCCAATCCATTGGCTTCGGGGTGGCCACCAGACGTCATTTTGAGCGTTATGTCATAGGTCTGGGAGGTGAAGTCTTTCCAATCTGCGCTGATGAACCGGGTATCCCGATCGCTCACAAGAGTCTTCGGGGGTCCATACTGCCGCACATACTTCTTGTTGAATTCTTCAATGACAAGGTCAGTTGGGGCGTGAGGTGGCAATGGAATCAAATTCAGAAACTTAGAAAAACGATCAACAATCACCATTACTTGCGAGTAACCATTCCTGCTCTTCTTCCCCATGTCCGTGAAGTCGACGGAAACCGATTCTCCCGGACCATCAGGGATAGGAAGAGGGTGCAGCAGCCCATAGGGCTTTTGCCGGGATGGTTTGTTGCGTTGGCATACCTCACACTCGGCCACAAACTGTTGCGTCATCCTTTTCATACCAGGCCATACAAACTTGTCCAACAGATTCGCGTAAGTCTTCTCAACACCGAAATGTCCACTCCGACCATGGGCCAAATCCAAGAAGTGGGTGAGGATGGGCGCATGGTTGGGAACACATAACCGGTCACGCTTACCGTAGCGTCGGAAGAGAAGCCCCTTGCATTCATGGAAATCAGGCTGACTGTCGGGGTCGGCCTGAATCTGCTCAAGGATGGGACTGAGTTCCGGATCCTTGGCAGTGTGCTCAACGAGTTCCTTCTG